GACGGCGACGCCAACGGCGACGCCGACGCCGCTCAGGCTGGAAACGGGCCCCTAAGAGCTGCGCTCTAAAAATAAGAACCACCCAGCGGACGCTCTAACAGAGTGATTTACGCAAACCTCGTAGCAGCGAAGGGAAGGTTTCAGTGCTTGTTCAATGTGGTCGCTATTTTCCATTTTTGTTTCCTGCAATGCAAGAATATCTAGCTCTTGCTCCCATACTAAGCGATGCAGTTGGTACTGTTCCGTTTTCGAGTTAAGTCCACGCATAAAACTAATAGTCAAGTGTTTCCCTCTACAAGGGTCAACAACCGTTGCACTTTCTCATGAGCAATTCGCTTCGCGTCACTCATTGTGAGTTTTTCTTACGGCGATCGTCTGACCGAGGTTTGAACAAAAGGCGAGCTTTCTTAGTTCCTTAAGTTGTCCATCACTTTGAAATTTGCTCCTCTTCGACAGGCGCGTCCGGGACGGGAGGTCGGTCCAGCTGACTTTCCCTTGTCGGGCCGGTCTCGTTCATAGGCTCATGTTGCCCGGTGCTTGGATAGAACTGCTGCCGCTGGTCGCCCTCGTCCGCTGTACAGATAGAGGTTTCCTTCGGTGCTGTCTTTTCTGCGTGAGGGTATTCACAGGTTGTTCTCATTCCTGTGCTTTGTGAACTTGGAGGTTCCGTCGTGAGACGCTTCTGCTCCATCGTCGTTCCCCGCTACAGTGTCCGGCGTTTTTGGCTGGTCGTCTGGCGCCTCCGGTGCAGCGGTCTCTACAGCTTCCTCTGTCTCGGATGCGTCCATGAACATCTCCGACTCATCCTGCTCCTTGCGGTCCCGAGCGATGGAAGCATACGTGGTCACGCATTCCTCCGTCGCATGTCCAAAACGATTGCAGTCAGTGCATCGAGGAACGCGACGTTCTCGCCGGATGTTCCCGGTTCGTCTGCAGCGCAGGCACAGGGGTGCCCTCCGTGGCACCAGGACCAGGACTCTGCATCCCTTCAGTCGCACTTCGTGGAGAATTTTGTCTACCGTCATACCCTCATGGAGAGTCATTTGCACGAGACGCGTGCTTGACTCGAAATTTTCAAAACCTTATTCTCTGAAGCGCTCCCTGGTTATAGTGGACACCTTCCCGAACGTTTCCAGCTCTTTTTGCTCTTTGAAGTTTGGTACATTATATGGCACCGAGTGAAGTTTTAGCTTGACTTCATTGCTCGCCGGGTCTAGCACGAGGCACCGCCCTCCCTTCACCGCAAGTCCTTTCGCGTTCACCAGCTTTTGCTTCGCAGCTAAGGAATGCAGTCTCAAGATCCACACATGGTTCATCTGGTACGCACCTGCTGATGCCAAGTCTTTTTTTATGTCCAGCTTTTCCAGCTCGTGTCGGAAAGTCCTGTATGCGGTAGGGACGTTTCTTCACATCGCAGTGTAAAAACACCGCGTTCGTCGCGATGTATCCAGCGGGCAGGGATGGCAGCATAACCTGATAATCTTTTACAGTTTCCCTCGCGTTATCTGCAGCAGAAGTACCACCTCCAGAAACGGCCAATGTAACCGCCCCTGCGGAACGCATGCCCCGCAGGGGCGGTTACATCGGCCGTTTCTGGACGTGGTCCGTCTGCTATCGCTGCCGGAAGTAGAATCCGTTAGGCCACAAGCACACTGCCTACTTGGTCAGCTGCTCGCGCGGCAATATTACGCACTGATATTTAGATCTCTCCGTGCCCGCTGTGTTGCCCGAACCACAAGAGATGTGGAAACCGCAACAAACGTACACGCCTAAATAGGATTGCAGGGCCCCTTAAAGGAGCCATGAAGCGATTTTTCTACTTTCGCTAAATACTGCTTAGAATCACTTTCTAACATTAGTAATTGAATACACTTGCCTGTATTTCGTTTCTAGACAATGGCAGTCGACAAAAAAAAGATCGAGAAATTTGAACATCGTTTATCCCCTCAACTTGGAGCCAAAGCTATACCTATCTTATGCCTATCCCATGCCGCCTATCCTACGCCGCCAACGTTAATCATAACCACACACTGGATTGGCAAAGTATACAACGCGCGCTGGGCTCCAGGGATTGTTAGAGCTCGGCTATTGTCATCACCGCAGTGGTTGGACGCGAGACACTCACTACTCGAGTGTCCGCCGCGGCATTCATTGTTATGAGCCGAAGTCGAGTGCTCAAACAGCTCTTGTGTTCAGTCCATGAACCGCGCTCGATTGTCATTCGGTGGGTAGTTTTGATCCCACAATTATGTCATCAAGCTTATCGAAGGGAAGACTGAAAGAAAAAATTGATGGTCGAGGCAAACTTGTAGAAACTACAGATGTGATTACCTATGAATGCGATAGAATTTATCAGTTCATACCGCAGACTTAGCGGGGATGCTGAATTGGTGCGTAGGTCGTGACATCAATTGTTTTCCTAAATTTAGCTATTAAACTCTCCCGAAATTTAGCGTCGTCCTCTAAGACGACGCTAAATCGTTGTCGTCCTTTAGATCACCCTATAGGTTGTCCTTGAGGTCGTCCTCTTAACGTCGTCCTCTAGGACGTCGTCGTCGATGTCGTACTAGACGCCATCCTTGGCGTCTTCTAGGAGGACGTCGAGGTCGACGTCCTGAAGCACGATGTCAAAGGCGACATCTGAAACGACCTCTAAGACGACCTCTAGAGAGACCTCAAGGACGACCTCTGGAGGACCTCTAGGTATACCTAAAGGACAACGTCAGAGACAACGTCCTAGAGGACGACGTCAAAGCCGACGTCTAGGACGACGTCAAAGGCGACGTCTAGGACAGCCTCTAGAACGACCTCTAGGGAGATCTTGAGGACGACGTGAATACGACGTCTAGAACAACATCTGGGACGAGCTGGAGGACGACGTCACGGTTATCAGGTCTTTCGAAGAGGGTGCGAATTTGAAGGAGTGCGTGCTGCTGCTCCGCATCCGCGCAGAGCGATGGGGTGCAAGCACAGTTAGCTGAAATGGTCCATAGCGCATACTTATTGCGCACTAGGAGTCCAGGAAATATCGATATAGGGAGTATTCACTGGTGGCCATAGCTGTACCCGCGACTGCTGAGCGCGTGCTGGTGGCGAGCTTTAACAGTTATTTTGCTACGTGCACTGCACACTATCAAGATTGCCGGCCTTAGAAACCTCTTGATGTGAGCTCGACCTGAGCATGCGCTCTAAGCAGCACCCACAAATATGGCGTCGACTGAATACTTTTCTATCGAGTAGTAGCTTAATAAGACGATCGAATTAATAGTCCCATGTTATCCTCGCAGTTTCACAGCGACAAAGAAGCTTCTGTATCAGTGGAGGTCTGTGCGAGTGCTCTTGAGCCAGGCTAGTCGTGAACATTCCAAGCTGATATCGTTTCCTGACCCTTTTATTGACCAACCCGAGAATAAGGAGACATAAAAAGAAGTATTTTTCGCCCACAATGTGCGAAGAAACGAAAGCGAAAGCTGTAGCACGACCGCGCAATGCTGGTTAGATTGTGTCGTCGCGTACCTGAGGACGGGGGTGCGACGTGGTTAATTCTCATAGTCGTCGTGGTTGGCGTCGTGGATTCCACTGGCGACCGTCACCAGTACTCGCTGATCCGTGAAGTAAGTCATAAGCGCGTTGGAAGTTTCCAAAACCATCCAACATTACGCATAACAACTTGATACTGCCAAAGTGGGATTTCGCATAACGTGACATAAGGTTTGAAAACAAGTGTTTGTAGCAGACGACACGGAAGACTGTCCTTTCGTCGTGTCGTTACTGGCGAGAGGCCGGGGCTTCCCTCTCTCCTCACTCCGTGCTGCGCGACCGATTATTATCTCCCAGTCTTGGGTTTATCATTGGGGAGTTAGTTTTCCAGCTTGTCTGCGTTTTTTACCACCAACTTCTGGCTGCTGAAGCTTCTGTTTACTGCCACACTAAAGAGCGACCAGCGTCAGGACAGGCGTCTGCCACGCCATCAGCGCTGCTGTGACTCCGCCAGGATCGCGGCGGGCGACAGCATGGCACTTTCATGACGTCATCAGGAGGAAATCGAGAGACCACCTTTTCAGAATGTGCTAAACACGTCAATCGAAAACGGTTTCCATGCACCCGAGTAAGTGCTTCTGCTTTCGCCATGGTAGGGCGTTCAAAGGGCCACTTTGTTTTTCTTCGGGCGGAAGGAAAAACACTTGGCCTCCTAACTTAATTTGAGTTTGATTCTTTCGCGGACGAGAAACAATCAGGTCTCGCAAAATTACAGATTTGCTCCTTCGCAGTGACAATGCGCTACCTCTCTTCAGCACTTCCGAAAATACCAGTAATGGAAGGTTCTAATACTTTCCCGAGACAATTTCGCACCTTTGCTTTTTTTCCACGAAAAACAAACAAGCAACCAAAGTTTTAAATAAGATTGTAAGAATGCCATTAGGAGGAAGGCTGTAAACAAACTATTAAACACGCAGAGACACTTCTTTCGCTTTAAAATTGTATACAGCCCAAGACACAGATACAATTGTGAACTGGGTGAAGGTACGCGAACGATTTGTAATTATAGTGGATTAGAAATTGTTTGCGAATTTCTTGCACGTATACTGCTACCACAAGGCCGTCCTTCGGAGAGGTCATATTTCTGCCGGCGTCTATTTGGAGACGAACATGCGTAATATAGCCCTACGCGCGTCGCTGACGTCACGACGCAGCGGCGGCGCTGCTGACGGTGTGTATATGGCGCACGCGCAATACCTTCTTTCAATACAAATCCTGCGTCCGCACCTGACGTTGTAAAAAATACGCTTGTTTGAAAACCGCGCATGACTGAGCATGGGAGGGATGAGAATTATTGCTGATTCGCACTGTGCGATATTCTTGCGCACGCGCAGCTGCGACGTCGCTTGTGCGGAGAAGAATGCGTGGTGCTCACACTGGGGATTCCCAAAAGTTGCAGCTGCAAAATCCCGAGTGAAATCGCACTATGTAAATCAGGCCCTAGCACCATAATGACATACCTCTTTAACCTTCTCATTCTCGTTCTCTGAAGATCTTTCTTCGCTATATATGGATGCTTCAGCGTTGATGACAACGTCGAAGGTCAGAAAGAAAGTCCACGTCAGAAGCAATACTCGCCGCTGCAGCTCCATTTTCTTTTACACGGCAGGCAATTTGCGAGCACAACCGCTGAGTGCTCCTTTTTATACTTTGAGGGTGACCCACGTGACTATGAAAATACCGATGGCGTTTCGAGGATGCTTGTTTATTTTTTAGCTACTCGCCATGTTTGTTGCTATTGTCTTTGCGCTTTTTTTTCTATTCTACACGCCGCGCATATACCTGTTTACTCAGAAATTGCAACACCATCTTTCTTTTAGTCTTTCCGGGTAAACAAGGTTCCTCTATTCAATTTGTTTGTGCAACACGAACAATTGAAACTTTTCCCTCGAACCGTAGTGCCCGCGACCGTGGGAGGGAGGCCTGAAGGCTATGACGAACATGGAACGAAGTTTATTGTTTCCTGCATTTGACTACGTGTAACCGAACTGGCATGAGAATATTCGCGACAACGCTGGAACTATACTCCGTTTTGTTTTAAGCCCAAGCGAGGTAAAAGCTACAAGGACGAGCATGTGATCCTGAACACTGCTAGGACAGCACAAGCGCGCGTGCATAGCAGGACGCTGAAAGTCTGCAGTTCGCTCTTGTCACTTCAGCCACGATAACAGTTAATGTGAAACGGAGTATAATACCTCTTTCAGACGGGCGCCTAAAAGGACCTTTACGCCAAAGGCCTTAAGGATTTTCGAATTACCTTTAAAGGACTGCAGTGCCAGAGGGCGCGAGTAAATCTCATTTAGACGACATTTACAGCGATTGAAGTCTCGTAGCTCGTTCACACGCATAAAGCACGTTCACGCAAGAAAAATAATATCATGGCGATATAAAGAATTTTTTTTAGGTTTTTTTCTTAAGCAAACAAAAATTAAAAAAGACAAAATGACGAGTTCAGTCGACTGATTAGAATTAAGTCCACCTTAAGCCCAAGGAAAGTGGTTTTTTTATTTTTTTTTTTTTTGGGGGGGGGGCAATTAGCGGCAACCCTGAACGTCTTGCTCAGTGCGCGCGCTTCCAGCACTCTAAGAAAAAAAAGAAGGAGAAAGTTGGCAACAGCGACTGTTCCTCCCTGCTGTGAACAAGTTGTCCAGAAAGGGGAGGAACGGAAGTTCAGATGAAAGGAGGAGGTCCAGTTCCTCCTTGTTCAGTTAGCGCAGAGGTAGAACATCGCGCTACTGACAAAGTAATCAAAGGTTCGATCCCTGGAAGGAGCGGTTCTTTGTTTTCGTTGTCTTTTTTTTTTTATTATTATTATTTACCAAAACAAACATCAAAAACACAGACCGATTGAAGGAAAATTAAAGTCCTTGTTATCCACCGACGCCAAGTAAAATTATACAAATATCATTTCTACAAGCTTCATCAGCACGCTGCTTGATAAACAAGATTTAGGCACCCAGATTGGATCTAAGCCGTTTACGCAGCGGCCGAGACGACGAGGTCGGTCCTTCAGTCGTTTATTTTGCCGTGGCGTTTTCGACATTCATAAAGAAAGAAGTTTAAACACATCCGTCATAAGCCGCTAAGCTTCGAAACGATGCCGACACTGCTACGTACACTGGGCGGGCTGCGATCAGCTGCGATTGCGGCGGGCTTCGGCCACTTAGGCCACATATCGTAACTCGGCTGCCTCGGCCGCCTCGACTGCCAGGTCCTGACCCTGGCTGCGACCACTGCAACCAACGTTGCAAAGACTACAACGCTGTGACGCTACGAGGACTGCCGCGAGTTGTGGCCCTTTGAGGTCCCTCGTTCTCGCGACCGCTGTGCAGCGACTGTGATGTGTGGTTCATCTGTGCGTCTTCTGTGCAACGTTCTGTGTTTTCAACCCTTACCGTTTGCCAACCGACCATCACCTTAATTCTGTGTTTCAGGAGCTGCAGATGGCAGTGCTGCTGTTGCGAACGAAGGCGCGAACAATCGCCGACGTCCCATGTGTGCAAGGGCGCCCGGAGGTGTTCGTGCAAGGAGGGGTGTGTGGAAGTTGCAGCGTTTTACTTCTGCAAAAAACGCAAAAAAACGAAAGGGTTTTTCTTGCTACTCCGGCCCCTCTCCTCCCTCCGGGAATATTTCTGCGGGCTCTCATGCCTGTGTGTCGTGGTAACCGGCCAAGTTGTTGAAAGCCAGTTGGTAAAAGGCCAATTTGTCGATAGACAACTTGTAAAATAGACCACTCCGTCATAGGCCAATTTGCAGATCCCAACTCGTCGAAGTCCAGTTTGTTTAGTCAACCTGGCGCCAGCGGCCTGAAACGCGTGGGAAACGCTCAGTGGTCAGCGCAAGCTAGCAACACAAGCTAGCAGTCGCTTCCGAAAGCATCAAGACTGGCAAAATGTTTGCAGCATTTTGCAGCACCAGTGAAGAGAAGAAGATAAATTCCTGTGAGAGATGCCACCAATGGAAATACATCACCCTTCAAAGCTATTGTTTCTTAAAAGTTTTTAATGATTGGGCCTTGTTTAAAAAGGAATAGTACAGCAGGCTGTTGATCGTTAAAACTGATATTTCATACTTCTGGTTAATTCAAATTTTAAGATTATCAAAATTAACTGTTGGGCTAGTTGGCTACACATTGTATAAAAATTCAAAAGCGCAAACACCAAGGAAAAGAAGAGGGGACAGGACAGAGCGCTTACTCCAACTGGTAGTTTAATGCATTCCCCGAGGAAGACATAAAAGAAGAATTAGGTATGTGAAGGTAAAAAAGAAGAAGAAGAAAAAATTATTGTTATAGTTTATAGACGCATTTAAAAAATTTTAAACTAAATCTTACCCCTTGACACTAGCGAAAAAATGTAATAAAAATTCAGAAATATAAACAAAATCAGTAGGGCAAAGATAAGGTTAGAAAACACTAAAATGACCCGCGTTAAGGAAAAGGTAGGAGTCTTTTTTTGGACCGTGGTGCATAAAACTTATGCACCACGGTCCAAAAAAAAAAAAAAGACTCCTACCTTTTGATTCTGCCCACTCCAAGATCATCAAAAGAGGAATAGTGCAGAGTTGCTTCAAAGCGGCCCTGCACAAGTCCTGTGAACACACGGCTAAGCGCAGTTTCGAAGCACAAGTGCAGAGGCTGCAGGATTCTGGATACACCAATTCATTATTGTTTGATGCAGCAGAATGTCTGACAACTCCCAAGGGAAGAGGACAACGAAATTGCAAGAAAACGCGACCGGCAGTGATACCCTACTTCCACAACATATCACACAACTTCAAACGGATAGGCTCAAAGTATGAAGTACCAGTGGTACTTTCAGCTCCGAACAAACTAAAAAAATTGTGTCCTAAGATGAATTCGCAAAACGAAAATAACAACAACTGCACCGTCAAGCATACGCACAAGTACGTCAACTGCAACATCAACGTAGTCTACGAAATTCCATTCACATGTGGAAAAGTCTACGTCGGACAATCTGGGCGCTGTGTGAACGTGAGACTTCGAGAGCATCACCTTTCTCTGAAATCATCACCATCGGGACATCTCGCCATGCATGTCCGTGACTGCCACTGCACAGCGATATTCCAACAGACTAAGATCCTCAAGCATTACCATAGAAAAAGATCCCGAGAACTCTATGAAGCGAAAACCATATTGTCTCTCGGGGGAACTTGCATAAGCGCACCATCAATAGCGCTGTCCGAGAAAGAGGTGAGATACCTCGACCTTTTTCCTTAACGCGGGTCATTTTAGTGTTTTCTAACCTTATCTTTGCCCTACTGATTTTGTTTATATTTCTGAATTTTTATTACATTTTTTCGCTAGTGTCAAGGGGCAAGATTTAGTTTAAAATTTTTTAAATGCGTCTGTAAACTATAACAATAATTTTTTCTTCTTCTTTTTTACCTTCTCATACCTAATTCTTCTTTTATGTCTTCCTCGGGGAATGCATTAAACTACCAGTTGGAGTTAAAGCCCCTCGATGTGTTTGCGCTTGTCTTGCAAGTAGCGTCAAATGCGCGAGTGCACGAGGCCCATGTCTCGAGCGGCCCTTGGAAGCAAATGGCGCCGCAGCACTGAAATGAGCGGGCCTTGGAAGCGAATGGTGGCGGAGCACCCGCTCCTCGCACGTGTCTCGCGCGCTTCCACAACAATGGTTGGCGGTACTTGTAAAAAACGCTTTTATCAAGGGGCTTTAGTTGGAGTAAGCGCTCTGTCCTGTCCCCTCTTCTTTTCCTTGGTGTTTGCGCTTTTGAATTTTTAAGATTATGGCTGTCCCGTTTTTTTTTTAATGTATTTTTAAGCCGCTTAATTCAAACGGCATTCTTGTGCTATTCATACTTTTTGTTCTCGCGGTTTCGTTGAGTGAGCTTCCTTCCGAGCACCGGTGCACCGCAGAAGAGAAACACCTGCGGAGCTTGCGTCTGCGGCTGTTGCTTCTCCGCAGTGAGAGGTGCAGTCAACAGGGCTCAAACAGGAAACCACGAGCAATGACAACGAGCACCATCCGGAAATTTTCATAAGTTCGACGGACGACGTGACGTGGCAACATGGCATAGGTCCATGTGGCAGCGTTTGCGCAGAATGCTATGAAAACTGCCGCTCGGTGCCCGTTTTCGTCCCTTCTTGGCCCGATGAACAAACTTAATTTTGTTTTGAATTGTAATGTGCTATCGAAAAAGTCCAGACGAAACAACATTTGACATTCCACTGATCTTTCTCGTGTGGCATACCTGCTTATGATGAATAGGCCTGTGTAGCGGAAATTCTCGAGTATCTGCTTTGTATATGTAGCCATCTATATGGCAAAGTACAATTTTATCTCGCATCATATTTAGATAAATTTTCAATAATCCAAGATTTCCAACAAGTCAAACAAAATTCGTGGCTTCTCAGAGTGTGAATTAATGAGTCTATTGTATAAAGACAAGGTCAATGGATAGGCGATTCCTTGGAGATTTAGCGGGAGAACGCACGGTGCTCGCAATTTGTTCAGGGTCAGAAACATGAAATGGAAATAGAGGACAAAACGTTGCCTGAAGATGTGGGGTTCTGCCGGGCACTGTTTGTGTATTAGGAGGAATATGAAGT